AAGTGTTCTCACTTCGGAAATCAGCTTTCACTTCGAAAATTACGATCTACTCCGACAACCTCGCATAAATCAGCACATCCAAAACAAGCGTTTTCAACCTCCAGCTTCCTTACCGACTCGAAGTCTCTAGCTGTTTTGCAATGCCGGCGACCATCACTCCGTATGCCCGCCGATATTGGGGGTCTCTCTGTTATCATCCGACTCGGTAATCCACTATTAAGAGCCTTGAACAGTGTCTCGGGCAATTTAACACTTAGACCGACCTGGTCCGACGTTACCCCGGTTCGCAGGACGAATCGGTATGACCATAGTAGACCGAAGTGACCATTGCCAACCGAGGTCATCCCTACCGAGATCAACACGAACCGAGGTTGTCACCTCCTAAAGCAGGTGACAAGGCGCCCACACGCCATTCTCACAAATTACGAGATCTACTGGGACCCACTGATCCTACCGCCCACCAAAAAGTAGCTTTATAGGAAAAGCAATGCACGAATCCCGATATGTGTCTCAAACAGTTGCTATAAATAGCGAGTTCATAACACTTGTACATGATTCGATTTCTGGACCCGAACTTCTTAATAATGAAACACGAAACAGCTCACGGAAGCTTTTCACCTCGGTTCACCTCGGACCGGGGCCATTGTCGAGTATTTCATACATACTTTACTTTCGAATCATCAATAATCATTACATAAATCCACCATTAAATCATTGTTCACAATCGTATAACAACATATTTAATTAATGCATTTAATATTTTGGGTATACAAATCAAATTACCATTTAATTAGTTCCTAAAATATTGGGTATGCAATATGGATTTGGGAATATCCAATGTTGGTATTAAAAGAAGATTTTTTAATTTTTTTTTAAATATAAAATATTGCAACACGTAAAACTATTCCAGTTATTTTTTATTTTATTTTACATATAAAATCTAATCAATATTTAATGCATCCTACAAAATTGGATTTAGTTTAATTCTCCATAAAATTGGTTGTATCTTTTTCAGTTGTACTTTATTTATTTATTTATTTTACACTTTTAAATTAATGAAGCTCTCCGAAAATACCAAATCAAATGACTTATGATTTTTTTTTACAATTGTAAATCTATATACCCAGCTCAAAAAACTCATTGCATAAATATGGACGAGTCTAAGAAAATTTCATAACCCAGCTTACAAAATTCCATCTCCAAGAGTAAAAAAATCACATCCCTCATCTATCGTAACAACTTTAAAGATAAATAAATAAAAGTTTAATTACTACTACAAATCCATTATCTATTTAGATTTTTTAAAAATCTAAATTTCACCTGTCTAATTACTAATATTTTAGATACTTTTAAATATTATTTGTATAAATTTTTTCACACATTTGCTCTCTCTATATATATACATATATGGAGGTTAAATGAAGAATTTTTAGACATGTTTTTCTTACGGGTAGTTTAGAAAAATTTAGGTAGCTTCAAACATTATTTGTGAATAATATAGAATATTTTAGATGCTTTTATAACTGTATTAAAATATTTTAAGTATATTTAATATTTATATATCACACTTAGAAAGAATATTTTGCCAAAAAAAATATTAAATACACATTGTAAATGTTAATAGAAACAGTCTTCCGTGTTCGTCTTTGATCTCAATTACATATAAAATTTCTTTTTATTTGTCATATAATTTTTGGTGTGCACTAATCTCGATTTGTATTTGTAAAATTGATAGCTTTTGCATTAATTTCAATTTGTATTTATAAAATTGATAAATTGTTAAGCGTACAAAATCCTTTTTATGGTAACAACTTACAAAAAATGATAGTAATTTTTTGAAATATTGTGTAGTCAAATCTTTATATAGAAGTAACATCATAATTATGGTATCTTATAAATCTTATCTAAAACAACTTTAACGTGAGATAATGTCTTTATTTAGTCTTATTATTTTAGATACTTAAACAAAATGTTCAGACATATTTTTTTACATATTCTATCTATATGTACATATATATATATACTCACATATATGTAACACATGTTAAGTTTAATTATTTTTAGACATGTTTTCTTTACAAAATAGTTTAAAAAATCTTTCATGCACATCTATCTATACTTATATAAAAGGCATTATATTTACTAGAATTAGTAGTAAGAAAAGTCAAAGGTAATTAATGCATTCTATTTCCACAAGTATTTTATTTAATTATTTTAGTTAATTGTTTTATCTCATAACACATTTTCAATACAACTTACCATTATTTTTTCATTGTGATTAAAAACCAAATTTTACCTTTAAAATCTTGTGAAATTATTATTATTATTTTTATAAAGCACATATTATTTGTTAAAAAATTGTATATATATATATAATACACATCACAGTACCATAGTAGATGATTTAAATTTCAACCGACCAAAATGCCATTGATTTAAATTTGAACACACTATGCGTTTGACCAAATGTCTGGATGATTTAAAATTGAGTCCATAAAATATTATTTAAATTTGAACACACCAGAAATTTTATGTACTTTTTATTTATAAATATATTGAATGTGGCATTTAATGGTTGTTGTATAAACTATTTTAATACATTTGCAACGAATAAAAGTTTGAATGAATAATTTGTAATGTTATTCATAATGTTTGTGACTTATGAGACACAAACACATAACTCCATACATATTTGCCAGATGGCGGCTTAATAATTTTTTAGACTTAACGTTGATTAAAATAGGTAGAAAGTAGATAATAACATTATTACTTTTTAGACTTAAACGGACAAGACTGTGAAAATAACTCATTTAATATCTTTGTCCCGTTCATCACACGGGGTTCGTACAAGTAATAATAAAAAAAAAAAAAACCTCATAAATGTAGAAGCAAAAGTATTTTGGGATCAAAATAACTAATTTTTGGCTCACTCCACGTAACAACATTTTTATATGTCTGTTAAATACATAAAAATGAAAATATCTATTTTCACCCCGTTTTGAAGTATTGATAAGTTTTTCATACCGCCAAATAAAAAGCTAAGTTTTTCACCCTAGAAAGTGCGAAGGTTATGCGAAACTGTCGCATATTCATCGCATAACTGTCCATATGCGAAGGATATGCGAAAAACTGTCGCATAACTGTCACATATCAATTGCATAATTGTGCAAATGCATTGTGCAATAAATATGCGACAGTTATGCAATTGATATGCGACAGTTATGCGAAAAACTGTCGCATAACTGTCGCATATCAATTGCATAATTGTGCGAAGGCATTGTGCGATGAATATGCGACAGATATGCTTTGATATGCGACAGTTATGCGACAATTTTTCGCATAACCTTCGCATATGGACAGTTATGCAATGAATATGCGACAGTTTTCGCATAATCTTCGCACTTTCTGGGGTGAAAAACTTAATTTTTTATTGGACGGTGTGAAAAACTTAATGTGTCTTTGTTATGGGGTGAAAAAGATTTTTTCCCAATTATAAATATACTCACCAATGGCATATTCGTAGTTTTTCAGAACAGCAAGGGCAATTTTTCTGTTAGCGTCCTGTTGTGCTTTGCCTTTTTATTTTCACTGCTTTGTTTTTTCCTCCTTTCTGAGTTTCTTTAGCTGCCTTTAAACAATTTTTGACCGTTGCTTTTTTCCTCTCAGCCCCAATTGCCCCAACGTTTCTCTCTCTCTCTCTCTCTCTCTCTCTCTCTCTCTCTCTCTACACACACACACACACACACACTTTTGTGAACAAGCAAACGGCTTCTGCATTGAGGTACGACTGTTCTCCTCATTCGATTCTCGTTTTTAAACTAAGCTTAATAATCAGTTAGTTACTGTAACATATTTATGGAAACTAAGGCAGGCCCATGACAATTTTAACACCCAAAAATCGATTCTTGAATCGATTCTTGTTCGATAGGTTGCGAGCTGTGTTCTTTGGTCGATTTTCTTGGTAATTTTGAGCACTTGTATCGATAAAGGTCGAATCTTTACATTTAATTCTTTTGGCAGTGTGTTTGTTGGATGAAAAAATTCCTTTCGATAAGCCAATTCTTTAAAACTTCAGGGTTTTGGGTTTTGAAAAGAATTTTTTTTGTGTCTGTGTGTCTCTGTGTGTGTGTGTGTGTGTGTGTGTGTGTGTGTGTTCTTATGGGTTTTAAGAATTGAAAAGATTTGATTTTTTTTTTTTTTTTTAGTTTTGTTCTTCAGGGTTTTGGGTTTCATTTTATATATTTATAACATCTTTTGGGGATTGTGTTTGGGATCCAATGTTACTGTCACTTTTACAGTCAAGAAGTTCTGTAAATTTAAATCATTTTCTCAAACAAATTTCGATTTCAACTTTTTTTCCCCAATTCAAGGCAAGAATGTCTGAGATTTTAATCTTGTTTTGGACTAATGAAGAATTGCTTTATGACCCTTTTTTTTTTTTGTCTGTTTATGATAAAGATTGTCTCCTCGAAATTAGTAATAAAATTCAACCTGCTTTTATAATCACTCTTATAAGTCTTGATAATTTACAGCTTTGTAGATTTATTGAGAATTTAATCAACTAAAATGGATTTATCTGATCACAACATATATGGATAAGTAGTGTTTTCTTATTTGAGTTTTCATGTATCTTCAAATGAAAGCAAAGAATGTTTTTTTTTTTTTTTTT